CTCTCTCTCTTTCTACCGACATTATCTTTCCAAAGCAAAAGGCAAAACACAAAGGGTTGGTTGTGACCCTTTTGCACAAAAAAAACGAGGGTGCTGTGTTAAAGAAATACAGAACTTGGTTGGTTCATGGTTGCAGCTTGTTTCTCGCTTTTCCATATCCACATTTTTGGTTTGGACGTCACGAACAAGACATAGAGATCACCTCACAATTGGGGAAGACCTTTCACGATGACAATTGAAAAAGATAACGATATTTTCATAACATTTTATAAAAACATTTTAACACTATTTACATATCATTATGTGATTAGTCCAAAAATACTTCACATTTTGGATTTGGACGTTCCGAACAAGATATAGAGATCACCTCACGATTGGGGAAGGCCTTCCACGATGAAATTGAAAAAGATAGTGATACTTTGACAACATTATTTTAACAACATTTTAACATATCATTATGTGATTAGTCCAAAAATATTTCAGAGTCTCGTTATCTTTAAAGACATTTTTCAATGGATGAATTAATCTTGAAAAATAAATGTGATGAGTAGTAAAGCACGGTTAATAAAAACATAAAATAAAACACACTTCAAACAGTTAACTGGCTACTAATACAAAAGGTTTAATTTTTAAAATGGTACAAATATAATATAACATAAATAATCTATAACTTAGTGTAATTAAGTTTATTATCCCTGCCTTACTGAAAATTGAGACGGACTGAAATCCTGATAGTGCGCCACAAGATAAATTTGTAGCTGCAAATCCTAATGACTAATAATTTTCTTTACTTTCCCTTTGAATGCCATTTATTTTAGAAGAAGTACTTGTTCATCAGTTCTTTTACTGCAATTAAATGTGTAGATACTTGGTTCTAATATCGTAGTAATTAAAAAGATAAATGGCATAGGATGTCAGAAAGATATTTTGGCAATTGAACGCACTCAACCACATGAATTTAAAAGTGATACTTTGATTTATAATTTTGACAGTTGTTGTTTGAAGTGATGGTTTGTGGTTGAAATTTTGTCTCGGTTTATCTTTATTTTTTATTTGATTTTATTTTATTTGTTGACAGCTGTTGTTTGAGGTGAGGGTGTGAAGGAAAGTGTCCTTGAATGTTGTAGTAGAGTTATAACCATACGTTGTCACAGAAGTCATTTTCGTAGTTATGATCAACATGGCTGCTGTTGTTGTCTAGAGCCGACAAAGCAATATATTGGAAAGAGGAAAACAGTAAAAAGAAATCCGAGGAATAGAGAGATACATGGGAGAAAAAGAGAACAAGATTTGAAAAAAATGAGACAAGGGGAAATCTCGTTTTCACGTTGATATTTAAACTGGAGTAAGACAATAATATTTTTCAAAAGTTAAACTCACAATTGTCTACTGTTGCGAAATTGGAGAGAGATACATGACAAAAAAGTTAAATAAAAATAAAAACTATGTTGGTCTCTTTTTTCAAACCTAGAATTCCCTTTCCCTGACGGAGGCGCAGTGTTGACGAAAACATATAACCTTATTACTTCCTCTCTCGTCAAATCAATTTTCTTCATAAACCACCTAACGAGGAATTCCGCCCTCTTTCTCCCATTTTTTCATTAATAAGAGGAAACAAATTTGTATTTCCTTTTCCTACGTTGACATCAGAAATTCTATAAAAATTTATAAATAAAAAGTTTGGTATTATATATGACCTATTTTAGACGCACGTTTATTAATAATTGTGGTGGTTATTAATAGTGTTGTCAAATCATATAATTTGATTTGATCTTACTGATTGAATATATAGATTAATCACTTAGTTAATTAATTCAATCCGATTTATTTATTAATAAATATAGATTAAATGTGTTGACTAAATGATTTTTAGACTAAATTTAATTTTGAACTAAGTGTAAAACTTATGATAGGTCGGATTGAGCAACAAATTTTAATCTATTTTAACTACACTGGTTATTAACATAAATAACAAGTGAAGTTAAATTTCTTAATAACCCAAATGTGTTGAATTCAAGATTAAAAGTATATTTAAATTTTTTTAAAGTATTATTTGAAAAAAAAATAAAAAATCTAACTTTTATTTATAAGAAACACTCGCTATTTTCAAACTTATGGTTTTATTAGATTATTTACATGCTCTAAAATTTTTATAAGAAGTATATAAAACATATCGGAATGTTCTTACAGAAAGTTTGGAGATTTATAAGAAAAAAAGAAATATTTTCACTTGTAAGTTTGGCTAAGTTATAAATAAGGTCTTCTAATGTAACAATTACAATGTTGATATTTTCAGTAGTTTTTCCTTAATCCATATATTCTTTACATAATAAAATTGACTATTTATTCTCCAATTTCCATAAATAAGTGTACCTTTTAAATTTAATACCTATTTCTCTATTTATGACTTACAAAAATAGAGTGTGTTAAAGTGGATAAACATTTAAAAATTAGAGTAAACATGCAACCTTAATTGCCATTACGATCAATGAATACAAAAAATAGACACATGAATGAATAAAAATATGAAAAAAATTGTTCTTTAAAAGTTTAGTCTCATTGAATAATTTGGTTATCTTATTGTTTATATAAAACATTTAAATTATGAATTATTATACCGAGTTTGAATTTATTTGATAATTAGATTTTTCTGATTTTGAAAATTATTTATTTTATGTTCAAATTCAAATTTATTTTATAGTTATTTTTAATTTAAAAAGTATTATTTTTAATATTATTGAGTATATAACTTATTTGATAATAAAGGTAACGTTAATTTTAAATATACAAAAAATTAAGAATATGCACTATAGGAGAGTATTGGAGTAAAAACTTTATTTTATAAAATTATTTTGTTACTATTTTTATTATTTCGATATTTGAAATCAAATTACTTCTTAACCAGCTATTAGTTATCCAATACATCTTATTAGAGTTGATATATATATATATATATATATATACACGTGTTGTGTGTGCGTGCGTGTGTGTTAATCAGACAGGAAAATTAAAATTGCTTTCTTCTTGCAAGATTTTAGTCGACATGACTTATTTTTTGACTTGCACATATCCTTGAATTTTTTCAAATGTTACCCATTCTAATAATAAAACTAAGAATGTACAACAATTGCCACAACAGGAAGACATACACATCTTTTTACACATGGGAATGACGATATTACAACCCATGTGCCTGCTCAATTAATTAGTTTAGGTCAAGTTGTACTTTGACACGCCTCTTCAACTTATATTAAACAATTTGTCCTCTAAGTTTTAGAGTGTTTAAACTTTCCCAAGGGGGAAGATTTTAAATAATAAAAGAACAAAAGAAATGGAACAGTGATTCCTTCTTGACACAGCAAAACCACAAATTACGTCCAATTCACACAGTCAAACAATAATATTTTCATTATAATTATATTATTTTTTAACTTAAAATATAATATATTTTCTTATATTATTAAAAGTAGTGTCAATGTTTTTTTAATCGGTGTCAAACTAACTTTTTCCAAAGAAATGGGTGGAGATTGTGAATGATTTGAAGAAAACACAATGGACATAATATATAGATAAGCTGGGTTGGATGGAAATTAAAATAATGTTATTAAATACATAGAAGGTTCATTTATTCAATTTTTTTATAATCATTAAAAATTAATAGTTTTACTTTTAAAATAATATATCTAATTTTTTTTTAAAATATAATGTAATTTTTTTATAAAAGATGCAATTATATTTTACTCTCAACGCTATTATTTATGATTGTAATAAAATAAAATATAATTTATTTTTATAAAATTTCTAGAATTAAAACATCTTTGCTTCTTCACAGAGTAATCTTTATTAAAAAAAATTAAAAGATCAAAGTATAACACGAGTAATCAAAATGCCGACAGATTTAGCCCATTATATTTAACAATATATATAATTTAATTAATAAAATATCAAGATCTGACTTCCAACAAATAGTATAAAAGTCGTATTTTACTTCATAATTTCAACATGGTTCAGTTAACAATAATTAAAATATGATTTTAATGAAAATAAAAACACATTTTGAAATGAACTTTTCATGTTTGAAGTTGTCTTTGAGAAATAAGCTATATCAATTAGTATATTTTTGTTTCTAAAATTGATCAATTTTAATATATTTTTTTAAATAATCAGTCAGGTAAAAAGTCCTTATTGTTTTTAACTTAAATCTGGCAAGGACATGAGTTTGGATATTAGGTTTGCTAGGAGGAGTCAGAGGTAAGAGTTTTCTCATTTATTTATTATTTTTTATTGAATAATTTACTATATAATTTAATTAAATATCTCAATTTTTCATTAAGGTATTTAAAAAAATAATGATATTTTCACGATATTTTTTGACAAAAACATAACATGACCAATCACATATGACACCAACATGACTAATCACATATGACACATAAATGAATGTTAAGATATTATAAAAAAGGCTTAAATGTTTACTTCGTCCTCATGTTAAGAGGTGAATTTCTGTTTAGTACCCGGTTTTAAAAATGAAGACATTGGGTCCCTATGTTATGAAAAATGTATGAATAAGGTCATGTCCGTTAAGTTGACGGCAACAGCGTTAAGTCCATGCTGATGTGGTCGTACTTTTTCTCTTTTCTGGTGTCCAACTTTTTCTCTCTCTTGTTCAGTTTTTTCTTTGATGATTTGTTGAACTTGTTATTTCTTTGTGGACCTTATTCATATATTTTTCATAACATAGAGACCCAATATCTTCATTTTTAAAATCGGATAATAAACAGAAATTCACCCTTTTAATATGGGGATAAAGTAAGCATTTAAGCCTATAAAAAAATATTGTGAAATATCGTTATCTTTTAAAAAAAATTGGTTTGTGTGAAAGAAGCATCCTGATGTGATATTATTTCGTAGTGCCTGTTCATATGATATTTTTACAATCAAGATAAAAAGTTTGCCCAGCTACAATAAGTCAATTGAACGCACCCAACCAAATTCCTTTTGGTTTCAGTATTTATACACAAACGAGAAGCCCACACCATAGAGTCCCAGAATCAACCATCTAATAGAAAACATTCTTGAATACGATGGCTTTCCACGAAAACCCTCTCACGCAGTACACAGTACCACTTACCATCTCATTCTTCTGCCTGTTCTTATTTCTCTTCGTTTTTTCATCTCTGTCCAGAAAGCCAAAAAACCACAGCGCAGCAACGAGAAAAGCACCACCAGAAGCAAGTGGCACGTGGCCTTTGATTGGCCACCTCCACCTCTTAGGGGGGTCCAAACCGCCACACGTTACTTTGGGCCACATGGCCGACAAATACGGTCCCATCTTCACCTTGCGTTTGGGAGCTCACAAAACGCTGGTTGTGAGCGATTGGAAAATGGCTAAAGAGTGCTTTACCGTCAACGACAGAGCTTTCGCTAGCCGTCCCAAATCCATGGCTTTTGAGTTGTTGGGCTACAACTTTTCCATGGTTGGGTTCAGCCCCTATGGTTCTTACTGGCGCCATGTGCGCAAAATCGCCACGCTGGAGCTCCTCTCTTCGCATCGCATAGACACTCTGAAGCACGTGATGGATGCCGAAGTGAAAGCAGCAATGAAGGACAGTTACAATTTGTGGTTGAAGAAGAAAGACGGAGGTTCCGAAATGAAGAGGTGGTTTGGGGACATAACATTGAACATTATGTTCCGAACGGTGGTAGGAAAACGTTTTGCTAGTGACGGCGGTGTGAATGAAGAGAACGAACGACTCCGAAAGGCATTGAGGGAGTGGTTTGATCTGAGCGGTTCCTTCGAAGTTTCTGACTCTCTGCCGTATCTGAGATGGTTGGATTTGGATTGTATCGAGAAGAAAATGAAGAGAACGGCAAAAGAGTTAGATGGGTTTGTTCAGAATTGGCTTGAAGAACACAAACGCAACAGAGGTTGTGATTTAGGTGAATGGAAACATAACCAGGACCTCATGCACGTGCTTCTTGGGCTTGCCGAACAGGGTGAAGAGTTTGACGGTCATGACCCTGACACCACAATTAAAGCCACGTGTCTGGTACGTGTCAACTTGTTATTACGTGTTCTTCTTTATTTCGTACATGGCTCACAAATTTTTTCAATGATAAAATATTTTGAAACAAAATTTTTACGATATTTTAATATATTAATTATTTATTGATTTATTATTTATATTTTAAATTTAATAAATGTGTTATGTTAAAATATTGTTAAAATTTTTGAATTAACATATTATTGTTTTTTATATTAATTTGATATAATTTTTTCTTTTTACTTTTTTCTTTAAAAAAATTATAATAGACCGATACATGTTTATATTTATTTATTACACATTATAAAATTAAAATAGTCATTAAAAAATAAATTTTAATACTTGTAAAAAGAAAAAGAATAAAGAAAAATAATAATATCAACTGAATATATAAACTTTATGTATTAAAGTATTATTTCTGTTCTTAAAAATATAAAAAATTACTTTTTTATAATATTTTACTCTGTGTGTCACATGTAAATGAATCATCCCACCGTTGCTTCAAAAATATTTATAATATACATTTATAATCTGTTTTGCACGGTAAAGGTAGAAGAGTGTATGGTCGTGTAATTTTCCATTATTTTATCTAATATAATACATACATATTTAAATTATTTAAACGTTAATAACATATACAAGTATGATAAAAGAAAATAGCAATAGATATTTTCTTAAAATTTTAAATAAACAAATTGAAAAACAATATTTTTTTCCTTTTTCTCACTTTTGTACTTTGTAGGCTTTAATTTTGGCTGGTTCAGATACTACAACAGGAACATTGGTATGGGGTCTCTCGTTACTTCTGAATAATCCTGAAATTCTGAAAAAAGCGATCCATGAATTAGATACAGAAGTTGGGAGAGAAAGGATGGTAGAGATCTCAGATTTGAAGAAGCTAAAGTATCTTGATGCTATCATCAAAGAAACACTGCGTTTATACCCACCAGCCCCTCTTAGTTTGCCACACGAGTCTATGGAAAATTGCACAGTGGGTGGATATGATGTAGCATCTGGAACACGTCTTTTGACTAATCTTTCAAAACTTCAGAGAGATCCCTCTGTATATCGAAATCCCTCTGAATTTCTTCCAGAGAGATTCCTGACAAGCCATAAGGAAGTGGATGTGAGGGGTCAACATTTTGAGTTGATTCCGTTCGGCGCAGGTAGAAGAATGTGTCCTGGGATATCTTTTGGTCTCCAAGTGCTGCCACTCGCACTTGCTACCTTATTGCATGGGTTTGATATTGCAACCATTGATGGAGGGCTTGTTGATATGGTTGAACAGATTGGCTTAACCAACGTCAAAGCTTCTCCCCTCCAAGTCATTCTTACTCCCCGTCTATCTTCTCATATTTATGAACAATAAGCTTTTACCATATCTATCTATATATTTAAATAATCATCACTGTTTTAACTACTTTGATATTTAATTATTTACTTACGTTTTAGATCTTTTCATGTTCTTCTCCCATCAGTATCCTCAGTATTTACATCAGTAAGAAGTTTATAATTATAAATGTGAACAAATTAATTATAGAGTAGAGAGTTTCTCCTTGAGTGAAAATAAATAAGAAAAAAATTAGTGGTGACATGGTCACATATTTTATATGAATTCTCATTCGCTTCAAATATTTTAGTTGATTTCTTTTTCAATCAAAATTCAATCATAAAATATAATTAATAAAGTGTTTGTTTTTCATTGTTTCATTTATCCTATTTTAGTGAGATTATTGGATCTATTATTAGAATTCTTTCTATTTTTATCTTTGATTTTCTAAATGTGAAAATGTATGATAGAGATTTCAATTTTATTAAATTATAATATATAAATGGAATATAAATTATATCTTAAAAATATTTTTTATTAAATGTTAAATAATTCGACTTTGATCGTTTAATAAAATATTTTTGATAATTAAAAGTAAAAATATATAAAAATTAAAATAACATATGTCCATGGCACTTAAAATTAAATTTTTATAATATAGTTTAAAATTAATAATGACATTTTTATATAGGAATAATTTAGTTTGACTTTTGAAAAATAAAAAAGTATGATACATTGAATAATTTTATTAAATATTTTTTTGATTCAACTTATTTAGTTGATGACTTTCATATAGCTAGTCATGTCAAAACAGGTCACTTAATGAGTCAATCCAACCCGACTCACTTATCACTTTCAAAGACAATTTAAAATAAAAAAAAATTAACATACAACTCAAATATAATCCAAAAGCAAACTCAAAAAACGAATAAATAAGTTTATAATATTGATAATTTTTAGGTTACTTATCTATTTATAACATTAGAGTCTTGGATGAATAAATTTATAATATTTTGCTCTCTTTGAAACATCTTTTTCATTGTTTTCATTTATAATACAATAAAAAAATGTTAACTAATAATATTAAAACATAAAATAATAAATAATTAAATTAAAGTGGATTGATGAGTCAATCCAACTGGCCATAGGTTTAACCCAGTGAGTCGTGTTTTAATGAGTTGGATTGAAAATTGACTCACATTAAAAAAAACTCATGTTTGAGCGGATGGTCTTGCTGAATTTAGTGTTCGGAATAATTTATTTTTCACTTTTTTGACCAAACCCCTGTGACTTATCTTCAACTAAATCTAAGTTGGACCAAAATGTGATCTATAATAGATTTTTTCTTTTTGTTAAGCAAAGATCATAATAAGTACTTTATTTTGTTAAATAGATATTATACTGTTTGGTGCTTAACAGAATTTTAATTAGATATTGGAAGTATAGTTAGCTACACCACTTCCCATTTGGAATTGAATAGATAATTAGTGAGTAGTTGATGGATGACTTTCTAACGGGCGTTTAGACAAAAACAATATATAATTAAAGGAAATACGAAGGATAATAAACTGAAAATTCCACAATTTTAGAACAAATTTATTATGCAATTAAGTATTACCAGAACCTCAATTTAGATGATGTCTTTATTATCAGGATTAATACCTGAAAATTTTATTAATTATTTCTTATTAGTCTAATATCAAATTTTAAATTTAATTTAATTTTATAAAATTAAGAGATTTTATTAACTGATGTGAAATTTTTAACATCAATATATACTTATATATATATATATATATATATATATATATATATATATATATATATATATATATATATATATATATATATATTTATATATATATATATATATTATGTGTGTAAAATTAAATATTAATAAATAATTTAATAATAAAATAAAGTTTAATACATATATGAACTTTAAATCTGGTTTAATCCTTAAAAATGAACTTATATAATATTGTGAATTTATATGAAAAGAACAATTAATCTTTCTGTACCTATTATTATTTGGAATGAAAGTTTGTGTTGTACGGGTGTTTTCACCACCACACCATGCGGTATTAGAAAACGACACATGCGAACAAGAACAGCATCATGTGACGCCATATGAAAGTTCAGAAAGGACGGCTTTTTAAATTTTTATTAAATATTTTTTATAACATTTTAATATCGTTTATGTATTATTGTGTGATTGATCTGTATTGATATTTATGATTATTATTATTGATTGTAGAGTAATTTTGAATTAATTACAGAATAATACATAGATGATATTAAAATGTTATCAAAGTATCATTATCTTTCATCTTTTATAGTAAAATGATTCATACTCCAATAAAAATGCTTAAATTATGGAGCATTTTCTTGCACGGAAGATGAAGTCTACTTGGGAGGCTGAATTCCATCGTTCAAGGAGAGTATAACATTCCCTCCTAGGATGGCCAGGATACATCAAGGATAGTGTCTAACTCATATATAATATATAATAAAAAAATTATTTATTATTATTTTTTATTTATTGATATTTTGTCACGCCCCAATAATTACTCCGCTGAGTCACCACTGTGCTCCCATAAATGCACCGTGACACACACACCATCCCATTAAAACGCACTCACCCTCACACTGCATGCATGCTGACAAGTGTTACTTTGGAACGTTCTAAAACGTTAATGGACTCCAAGTGGCAGCAGGCGGTTGGACGATCGTCCTGTGTGGGGAAAGATTTGATTTTCTGAAAAACACTCTTCACATTTCTTTGCACGCTTCATCTTCTTCCTCAAACTTTTGATTTCCAGATTCTCTGCCTTCTCTCTAGAACCTCCACCTTCTCTCTACCATAACTCACTTTCTTCTTCTCCGATTACGTTTCAGAGACCACAGAAACGTTCCCTGCATCGTGAGCTTCACCTTGAACCGAACCATTTCCAGTTCTGGTAAGTTTCACTTGAACGCTCGTCTCTGGAATTTCTGCAAACCGTACTCATCTGCATGCATGGGCGTGAACTCAGTTCTTTCGTTTTCTTTTGTAAATTTTAGTTGAAGAGTTTAAGAGGAACGTTGAGAATAGAAGTCACCTTGGACGAGTAGAAACCACTCATCTTAGAACGTTCACTACTGAATCCGGGTAAGGGGAGCTTATGAAATTTAATTCTTGCGTTATGCTGTGTTGTATGAACGATCCGTGATGTTGCACTGTGTTAAATGTATGTCTGTAAATAGTATTGAGTATGAATTATGATATCAGATTGTACTATATGATTTTGATGAGGAAATATGCTATGGTTGATTTATTGGAAATATGAACTGCATGAGGAGATGATGCAATGAAAATGTTTGATTGTACTATGATAGGAGTGAATTAATGCATGAAAGTTTTGCTGGAAAATATGATTACTGTATGTGGAATTTAAATATGAGAATCCTATGAAAATGCACGTTCGTTATCGAAATGGTCTTTGACCGTTCGGTATTCGTAGTAAATTCTTTTAATGGGTCGAACCCTTTCATTTGGAAAGGATTATCCTCGAGGACGAACGCCCTCTTATATAGCTTTACGTTGTGCGTTCGGCCAGACGTAAACATCACGAGTGTTGGTAGAGAATTGAGAAGCCTGATAATAATCCTTTGAACTCTTAGTCAAATTATTAAAACATAAACTTTAAATATCTCATCTTATATAAATCCCAATTTTCTATGAATTTGAATTCAGCTAAGAGCCTTAACCTAAGAACGTACGTCCTAAGTGGCGCTCGGTCTTATACCGAACGCTCGTCCCAACAGTGTAAATGATAAGTAGCGTTCGGTCCTTTACCGAACGTTCGTTCCTTCTGTAATTATCAACAAGCGGTAATAGCGTTCGTACCAAATTGAAATAGCGTTCGTCCATAAATTTAATTAGCGTTCGTCCAATAGTTCTATTGATGTTCGTCCAAGACTTCAGTGACGTTCGTCCAAACTTCCTTTAAATACCTGATTTTGCGCTCGGTCATTGACTAGCGATTTGTCTTATGAATTAACTCGTGTTCGATTTAATTATCTAAACAAGTTTGATATATGTCTATCCATTGGATTCGGTTCAGAGTTATTGAACTAAAATTTTTATAAGTATTATTTGGATCGTACTAGAGTCAGTCAATCTAACTGATTCAAAGGAGTCTTTTCTCGGTCTCACTCTGAACGTTCGTCCTCGTTATGAAGGGGAGTGAACGTTCGTCTTTTTATGCAAGTGGAACATAGAATGAAAATGTATTTAAGAGGAATAATTAATATGTGCGAACACTATAAGAGTTGAAATTGTGATTATGGTTTTTGAACGAGCGTTCCAGGGAGGAACGACTCTTGAATGGAAATTGAGATTTGTTAGTATGAACGTGGTAAGCTTAGATGGTGGTTCATCCTGATATTCCGTGAGTGCTCGTTCTCAGGTAGAGATGAGTATGTCATGTGTGGGAATGGCAGGAGGTCTAGTCCATAACTGTAACTTGGACAAAAAGACTAACCTCAGGTGGCTACTGATGAGCATTCCAGTTACCCCACCTGGGTGCACGGACGCCTTAGCTACACAGGTTTCATACAGTCCGGACGGTCGGTCTAGTATCAGAATTTTGGATGGAATTAATGTATGAATTGTATGTGTATGTTGTGTAAGTACTTGCTGAAATTGATAAGTATGAACTGTATGTTTGACTTGAATTAAAT